AGTGAAGGTCTGAGCTATAACATTATTAATGATTTGCTTTCCTACTAATCTCACTGTAATAAGTAGAAGAGTCACTGCTCTGCTTCAGCTGTCTGTCTAAAAACAAGCAAAACGAAACACTAGAAACACAGCGTTAAAAAAACACTAGAGAGAGGATCAGAAGGAATGGTAAAATTCAAGGAAAGCCGTTTAATAAAACATTCTAAATTGTCATAAAATGAATTCTTAAGCAGTGTACTGTTTGTTAAAAGGCTTAAAAATACATACACCACACAGACAAGTGAGAAATATAGAAAGATTTTTAAAAACACTTTTCTTTCATTTTGACTTCATGCTGAAGATGTTCTGAATACATGATGGCTGCACAGAGCAACCCTGCATGGCTGGTACTGGTATGCAAGTGATATTAGAAATGATGGCTGACTGATCAATTTTTACAACTGTTACCTGTGCGTTGTTTGCTATATCTTATGACTACTGACCAATTCCACCATTGACTAATTAGTGTCTTATTAATCAACAAGTGGTGAAATATATGCACGGTTTTGAATCTAAGCATTGATATGGCTTGAACTGCAGAGATGGCTGAATGCTTAGGCTTATGGGTTGCCTCATACACCCATACCTCCAGTTCAGACACTGCCTTCCCTACTAGAGGAATTATTATTGACCTATGTGATCATACTATCTGGCATAAAGCCAAGAATAGACATGACATGGTCCAGAGCTATGATTTTGACAAAGAACTACAGAAGCATTTAAACAATACTTGTTTTAGGAGGACCCACTGTACAGTTACACACAAGTTGAATGGGAGACCTACAGTTTACACTCACTACTATACAGTGGCGTAACAACCGGGGGTGCGGGGGGGTCACTTGCCCCGGGCGCAGGACTGAGGGGGTGCGCCGTCACGACCCCCGCTAAACAAAGCCATGGCTCCCTCTCCCTGACACGATCACCTGGCTGTCATCGGGCGGCCGCTCGCTCTTCCGAGGCCACTGCGGGCGGCCCTCTACATTGCCTGATTGGAGGGCGCGTCTGCCTGATCCAGCCAGC